ATCGACAGGAAAATCGGGCAAACGTCGAAGGCTTGTACTCGAGAAGTGGAAGCAGTACAAAGGGGTCACCCTCTCTTTGTGATAGGAAGCTGTCAATATTTGTCTGTGTCCGGTTACACATAGAACTAGAGAGAGATAGATAGATAGATTGAGAGAGAGAGAGAGAGAGAGAGAGAGAGGAAGAGGTGGTCATGCGATGAACCGTAATGTCATCAATTATCTCTTACATACCATCGAACGAACCTTCCGTAAAATCGTGCGATTAACTCTATCGCAGTGTAACCTTCAATCTCAAATAGCTTTGGGAACCTCATCGACACTCTTTCAACATGACATCAAACTACTATCTGGTTGACCGAGCTAGCTTAGTGATTAGTTAGGTTGACCAAATCCTTTCAATCTCTCTCTCTCTCTCTCTCTCTCTCTTTCTCTTTCTCTATCTCTCTTTCTCTTACGGTTTGATCTTTACCACTGTTGTTGATCTCCGTTCGATAGACATCGAAATAATTTCCAACTGGTTGAGAAGCTTCAAGTTCAGAAGTTGAATTATATACCCTAGAGAGAACAATGATGACTCCTTTGACGAAAATTGTATCCTATTTGATATCTGATTGAACGAGCACAATCTTAACGATTAGACGAAATTGATCTGATCCCTTTCGATATATCTCTTAAGGTTTTGATCTATGAACCAATTCTATTGATTTCTCACGTTTAAATACGATTCCAAATAATTTTCAAATTGATCGAATCTCGATATACTATATTGAATAATAGTCATTGGGAACAATGATTGACGTGTTTCTTTGACGAAAATTGAATTCCAGTTATTATCTGGCTCAGACTATAGTTCATTCGATTAATTCGAAAACTATCATTTGATATCTCTGAAATTGAAAATAATTATCAAATGATGATTATTGCGATATTTAAAGTTCAAATTGAAAATTGACGATTCACTGATTTAAGAATTAAATTCTAATTAAAATTTGATCGATCGATCAAAATTTTGAGACAATTTCTTCAATACGAACGAATCAATTTCATCGATCAAATCCCTTTTCTTGCTAACAACAACGCATTTCTATTGTTTATTTTAAACGTGAGAAAAATTGAATTTTAGTTTCGTACGATGATCAATTCAACTTACCACGACCGAAAGTTTGATTCGATCAAATCATCCTCTTAAATCTCCTTCTTACCTCTTATCAGGGAAAAAAAAAAAAAAATTGATTTTCCCCTCTCTTTATCTGCCACCTGAAATCTTCCAATTCGTTCGGCAAAATCAATTCAATACAAATCTAAATATTATAATACCCAGCTTTAAGAAACAAACTCGAAAAAATTGCCAAATTGAATCCCGATTACTATAGTTTAATTCGATTTCGTACTTAGCTAACTAAAATTAACTTTAATCTTATCAATTGGCCGAATTGAACGTATCACACAATTGATTCTGATCTCTAAACGCTAATTGTAACTTGAAATATCATGGGTCGAATTATTCGATGGATATCTTTTAAAATTAAATTAATATATTATAAATTAATATACAAAACAAAATTGAGCCACGAAATTGAATTTTTTTTTTTTCTTTTTTTTTTTTTTTTTTTTTAGAAGTACAATGACGATAAAACGATTAACGATAATGAGACAACGGAACGTCGAGATCGATCCTCTTCATCGTTGAATCGATAATAGGCCTACTTCTCCTCTTCCTCTTCCTCCTTCTCTTCCTCCCGTCTCTCACCTGCTCTCTCCTCACCCTCTGGGGGGAGGGGGGGCTAGTAGAAGCCCGAAGCGTGCTTCATCTTCCTGCGATTGGAAGTACTCCGATGCTGCTTCCAATCTCGAGTGTCCTTCAGAGGTTCCCATGGCTAGACAGATAGATTGGAAGAGTGCAGAGAGGATGATATCGAAGAGGGAAACGGCATACGGATATATAGGATCGTCAAGATATTTATACTATACATATATATATATATATATATATATATATATATATATATATATTCTACGTACATACGTCATCGAATGGATCAATGAATAAATCCCATTGTTTATTATGACAATCTCCATTCCTCCTCTTCTCCTCTAGATACGTCTTTTCTATACTTTTCAAAATTTCTCTGGAAATTTTATATAGAAATTTCTTCATCCCCGTTTGTTTATTTGTTTGGTTGTTTGTTTATTTTGTTTCCTGCTTTCTCGTTCGTATTTTTCGTTTTTTTTTTCCTTCATTCCTTTTCGTCCCTTCTCCTTATCCCCTTTTTTTCTTTTTACGTTCAAGGAAAAAAGGATAGAGAAAAAAAAAAGACAAAAAAAAAAAAAGAAGAGAGAGAAAAAGAAAAGAAAAATCAAGGATCCTTTTTGTTGTGCGTACAAACTATGGAATATAATTTTATTATTCTTTTTTTTTTTTTTTACACTAAGAAATGTTTGTTTTTTATTTCTTCTTTTTCTTCTTTATTATATTATATATCGATTATATGATTTAAAAATTAGCATTAGTATTTCTATACTTTCTAGGATTAGCTTCTTTTCGTTCTTCCTTTTCTTTGGTTTTTGTTCGATGACAGAAAAAAAAAAAAATTAAAAAAAAGAAAAAAGAAGGAAATAATCTTTGATATAAGAAACTTCGAAAATAATCACTAGAGTGCCATTTACAATAGGTTTATGTATATATATATAGTTTATGTATATAATTTATGTATGTACGTGAGATATATTTTTTAATAATTATTAGTACATGGGATATATAATTTAAAATAGTTTTAGTGATAACATAAAGGGTACAATTTTTAATAATTATTAAAATATATACATATATATATATATATATATATATATATATATATGTATATGTATATATAATTTAAAATAATTTTACTATAATAGTATATAGGATATAAATTCAAATACTTCTTAGTATATTAGGAAATACATGTAATTTAAAATAATCATCACTAGTATATAGGAAGATATATAATTTATACTATCAGTAATTATTTTCATACTATAGTAATTATTTTCGAAGTATATAAAAACCGACCATTTTAAGGAAATATAATATAATATATATAGTATATATATATATTATATATATATATATATATATATAATAATAATAATAAGCAGACTAATAACTACTAATACAATATAGTATAAATAATACCATATATACTGATTCTAAATTATACTAATACATATTAGTATAATTACAAAAATATTAAGAAAACATGATAATTAATATAATTAATATAATTGTATAATATTAACGATATCAATTATAATGAGATATAAATAATACCGTGTAACTTTTACATTACATACATACGTATATATATATATAAAGGAAAAAAAATAAATAAATAAATAAAACAAAACAAAAAATAAACGAGACAAATTAATTTCATAAAGTAGTATATATTTTTGTCTCATTTCATCTAGCACTTTCTTTCTGACAATTTTCTGCAATATTTTCTTTTATTAACGTGACAGCGACATTTTGTGACGTAAGATCATTCGTATTTATTTTTTTCCTTTTGTCTTTTATATATATATATTTTTTTTTCTTTTTTCTTCTTCACTTTTTCTTTTATTAATAATTAAATAAGAATGCATAATGGATACTACAAAAATCAACTGAATGTTTATCTTCCTTCTTTTTCTTTCATTTGTACATTTATATAAGGGAAAAATACTTTTTCATGCTTTCGTCACTATACTAAATCTATATCTACATGTGTATGTATATGTTTATGCATATATATATATATATATATATATATGCACTGCATAGAATATACTATGCATATATAGTTTACGAAATGAAAAGAGTTTCGCATAATTTTTCAAATGATATTTCAAATGATATTTTATATATATATATATATATATATATATATATATATATATATGTAGTAAATAAGAGTATCGTCCAATATAGTTTTTAATAAGACGAGGAGTGTAGAATGAGAGTGATGATGGTGGTAATGTGTGCTAAAAAGTGTCACATTTGATTAAAGGGTGAGGGGGGAATAAAATAAAAAAAAAAATAAAAAAAAAGGAGAAAGAAAAAAAGGAAGTGGATTTATTCGATAGGAAACGTATTATCGAAAAGTCAACTACATAATTAAAAATTGTTTTCTTCTTTTCATTTTCTTCTTTTTCATCTTTTTTTGTTTTTTTTCCCTCTCTCTCTCTCTCTATTTCTCTCTCTCTCTCTCTCTCTCTCTTGCACTTACTTAGCATCAATGTGATAATACATTTATGAATTTCGAGTGATGACATAAAATCGACGTAAATTCATCTCAGCTACCTATTTATATATAATACATCTGTAGCACATTTTTTTTTGTTTTTGTCTTTTTGTTTTTTTTTTCCCCCTTTAAATATAATATTATCAGTTATAATAAATTTCATTATAATAGGATTATTAATTATTTAGATTTGAAATATCTTCGCGAAGCTTCAACCTCTTTCAATGGTCAATAATAAACTTTATCCCCCTCTCCCTCTTTCTCTTTCTCTTTCACTCTTTCTCTCTCTCTCTCTCTCTCTCTCTCTCTCTCTCTCTCTCTCTCTCTCTCTCTCTCTCTCTCTCTCTCTCTCTCTCTCTCTCTCCCCCTCTACTCCTACTTAATATTTTCCAACCAATAAACGAAATATAATTATACATAATCTTTCCTTTTCGCTTCTTCTTCTTTTTATTTTTTTTTTTTTCCATTCAATTATTTATATCAAATCGATATACAATTATATTGTTTCTATTAGGTCAATTTCTACACGGTAAAAAAAAGAAAGAAAAAGAAAAAAAAAAAAAAAAGGAAGAAAAAGAAAAAAAAAATGATCGACAGAGATCGATCAGATCGTCGATCGAATTTTTTCTTTCGTTCGGTTTTATTTATTTTCTCTTTTTCTATTTTGCTTTTCGTTTGTTTTTATTTATTTATTTTTTTATTTATTCATTTTATTTTATTTGTATTTTTTTCTTTTTG